ACACCTTTCAATTGCATTGGAAAAAAATAAACTGGTTTGGACTTTGGGAAATATGCTTCAATCAAAATCCAGAAGAGGGAGCCCTCCATCAAAATAAGACTCTGAACTGGATCGTGACCAAGATTCACAGAAGTTTCCACTTTCTCTTCCACCTGCTTATAAATCACTCAGTGGAATTTCTTGCCTGTCTGCCTATTCTTTAAAGACTAACAGCTCACAGTTTCTAGCTTTAAACAATATCATTCAATAGCTGACATGCATGTGTGAGATTTTTTTAAAACTCTGCCTGGACATATCAGATATGGAACTCAGTCCCTATAAAAGAAGGGCTTCCATTATCCTGCAAAGCAAAACATCTTTTTGTCCCATGTTCAGTATATCATGCAGCAGGTCCTGATTTTCACTCACAGCAAAACCTTCCTATGCTTTAAGGAAGCCTGTTGCTATCAACCTTGTTCTTGCTTGGCTGAAGTCAGTGAAGTTTGCTGTTGTCTTTGATAGGACAAGGAGCAGGCCCTTTAGTGTAACAGACTATGTTTATACAGGAATCTGCCTCAGATCCACACGATGAGTAATTAGCTCTGAGCAAGACCAACGTGCAGTATATTGAAGCTAAATGACCTTTTCGGATACTGTGAGTGCTATTCATAATGTCCGCTGTGCTCACTTTTTAACCTATCCCTAACAGCCCCAAATGTCCACAATTGCTGATTGCCCTAGTTGCATCAATTTCCAGCTGCTGAGACTTTGGTGCTTGGCTGATATTAATTTGCACATCTCTAGAGTTTACTGCTTGTCCTATCACCCTGGGTGTACTGGACAAGTTAGAGTAGGTTTGGGGTCCATCCCTCTGGTAACCAACTAAGAGTCCTCTGTCACTTATATTTTTACCCCCCCCCCCCCCCGAAATATCAAGGATAATCTGCCTTATAGTTGCTTGTTCACTCGACAGGATTCTCAGATTTTGGGTATGAGTTTCATATGCCTTCTGCCCCTTTACTTAGCTAAAGTAACTTCTCATAAAAAAAAAAATTATTACTCACAACTAAGGCAAACAGGTCTTCAATTTCTCATCTAAAATGTCTCTCTCTTCTGCCTTTTCTGACCATCTCCACTGCCTCCCATAGTTCAGGGTAAAATCTGGACTTCAAAATCCCCCCTTTTTTTTATACATCTAGGTATAGCTGAGAATAGCTCCAAGGTTTGTATAATTCTCCCATATTACTACAGTGCTCCTCCAGACTCAGCTCCAGTGTGACTAAAAGCCATGAGTTTTGCTTAGGAACTAAATCCCTTTAGCTTCCTTGAATGCTACTGAGAGAAGATGGGACAGTGATGCTGCCTGATAGGACGGGATTTGAGAAAGCAGCACTGAAAGATGCATTGTGTTAGGCAGGAGCAAAAAGGTCCATGACTGTGGATTCAGTGGCTAAACTCCCTGTTAAACAGATCCTGGGCGACTTTGCCTTTTTTCCCCCCCCCTCTTCTTTTTCTCTCTTCTCTTGTCCCTCTTTTCTTCTTTTTCCCTCTCTTTACTTTTTCCCTCTCTTTTCTTTTTCCCCTTTTCTTCTCTTTTTCTCTCTTCTCTTTCCCTTCTTTATAGGTTTAAGCAAGGTATTCAGCTTTTCATATACCTTCCCAGGGCTGTTACTCTACTTATCTGGACTATGTCCACATGTTAATTTGTCCCTTGATGTACAGTTGAATTAATACAGCTCAGCATTGAATAACTGTAAAGTGAATTTATTGAGATAGTATACATTATATGGAAAAGTCTAATTAGAAAAGGAAGGAATAGGCTAGGTTCCTTGAAATTAAGCTTTCAGCCTATTTGTTATCCTGTGTAATACCTATGAGGTGAATGGTAGCTGCCAGTGTTTTATGCTTACACATAGTGGCTTGTTTGTGCTGCCTTGAAGAAGACAGTAATGTAAACATATTTAGAGCACAGTATATGTGTGTTTCCTTGAGCTTTAGAAAAATGCATGTGTTTTATTCCTGAGCTGTGTGCTGTGATTATCCATTTCAGAAAAGTCTTCAGAGTATATTTTGAGGATGGCAGGCACTGTGGCTAATTGGGTAAGTTATGGCCATCCTGAGGTCTGTACGTTATCAGTGGGAAGGCAGCAGTGGACAGGTTACTTCCTTTCCTGTCCCCCTGCCAAAACACAAGGTCAGACAGTCAAACTGCGTTCCCCTTGGGTCTGAGTGCTGGGAGGTGAGATGAGGCTTTCAGATTTCTTTCTGTTGGAAGGTGAAAGTGTATTGGTACATTAGACACCTTCCTGCTGCTAGGAGAGCTTGAATGGGAACACCAGCACTGCCAGCCAGGAGGCAGGTGGGCAGTGGGCAGTGTGAAGGCTTACAAGCCAGTCCACAATCAGTACTCTGCCTTCCAGGCCAGAGCAGTGTAACAAGAAATGCTACAGATTCAGTATTTTCACACTGAAATTTGTTGTTGTTGTTGTTGTTGTTGTTTTAATAAAACACAGTGTAATTAAAAAAAAATCCTAAATCAAATCAGTTCTATAACAGAGCTCACGGGCTGACTGCAGTTAATGCCCTTAAAATAACCCAGTGATAAACGAAAAAGTCTCCTACTGCCCAAAGACAACCAGTTAACTTCCTTTTATGAAACTGTAGGTCTTTTTATTAGGCTACAAAACTGTTTCAAACAAATGAAAACCAAATGTGTAAAAAATGTGAGTGTTTTTCTTTAAACTCATACCAAAATAGCGTAAGCCACAGGGCTCTTCAAGCGAAGCTCTGCCTCAGTCTCTCCTACGGGCTGGCTTGTGCTTTTGAGAGTGAATACAGGGCTCATCTATTGAGCAAAGTGCTGCATCGTGCTGTTAGATAGAGGATCTATACAGTAACTGTACTGGAGAGATTAAGCAGCCATTCAGTATGGAACTATTCAGAGTAGCGAACCCCGAGATACGCAAAGCATTATGCAACTCAGATTGGCACATGTTGTGTTCTCCAGCCCAAAATAGTTGCTATTGTGGAGACAGGCTATTTTAATATTCACATGCAAAAGCTTTCAACGCGTACTGAACCTATGCCCTGCCTTTTAATATTATTCGAGTACTAAACAGACATGACGCCAAAACCAGCCCTGCTATAAATGAGTGCATCTCCTATTGAGATCAATAAGAATTGCACTTGCTTACACCAGGGCTGAATTTTTGCCTATAAATTACAAACAGTTCCGCTGTGGATGGAAAATATATTAACCTTCTGTGAACATAAAACTCAGTGTGTCATCTGTAGGATTTTGCTTTTCAGTGATTGCTTCCTAACTGGAGAACAATTACATTTCAAGTGGGAAATGTTTTAGCAACAGATCTTTGTGTACTGCCTGAACATGCTCATGTCTTGGCATCAGTGAAAACAATTCATATGTAATGGTCATGGTCTGGGTACTTAGGTCTTGAATTATGATAAACTCCTTGTAAAGACTAAAGGCCAGGCTGTTTTGGTCAAGAGAGGAGTAAATGAGGCTGCAGTAAGACATCTTATTACATGGAGCAAACCTTAACAGGCAAAATACATGGCTTGTTTTACTTCATGTATTAGTGAATCTTGTCTGGTGAATTACTGAGTCTTCCCATTAAACACTACCTCATCTGGCTCATATTTCAGTCAAAGGCTAAATCCCTACTTGTATATTTACCTGACCATGCAGATAGTACCTGATGCCAAGACCCATCAAGATACGTAGGTTGTCATATCTCCCTGTGAAATGAAGGAGATTCTGGCTCCTAGATGTTCTCGATGCCTTTGGGCTGCACTGGATTTAGGAACTGGTACATGTTAAGTTACCAACTTCTGCATTTCTGTCTGTGCCACTGCTGCCTGTGAAATTTTTGCTATGTATGTGCTCCACAGGGAGAGAGCTCTTGGAGGGTGAATAGCCAAATGGGTCTAGGACATGAAAGTTCCAGAGGAAACCATCTCATTCATTATAGATATTGGGCAAGAGTCACACAGCCTGTGAAGTGTCCACAGAAACTTTTGGGGGTTTTTTGGCTCCCATTATACTATATGTGTAAACAAGCTTTGTGAGGTCCATGGCAAAAGCAAGCTGATACACAGAAGATAATGTACTTTATGTTAAAAATGAAAGTAATTAGAGAACATGATATTGCATTTGAGAAAAAAACTGTGATCTTGCAGTTAAATTGTGTAGAACAATGCGTATCTTTAAGAGGTTGCACCCAGATCCTGAATTTGAAATGTTTTCTGAATATTGTGTTTGATTGTGCGCTCTCTCAATGCAGTTGCTTCTTAAAGGAGTATAGATTATATATTCCACCTAGTTTTCCATGGAATGATGTATGATATTTGGTCAAATGCATTGTGCTCTCAGGATAAATTATAAAGTACTTAAATGTATTTCATTACACATTATACTTCATCTTCAGGCAAAAATGTGTTTTGTCAAAATATTGATTTGTATTATCAGGTCACGTTGTATAATATCCAAGACTGAATTTCATTTTAGGGAACTGTGCAATTTGTCTAACCATTCCAAGGAAAAGGACATCAAATACATATGAGCAACTGTGTTGGTGAAATGAATTTTAATCATGTTTATCATCCTTCCAGATACACTGTACAATGGGATTTGACAAATTTCACTCCCTAGACCTTAGTCTGATCGCTGATGAGATAGGAATGTTACAACGTCCCAGTGGCATCGAGCTGGATTCCTGCTCTTAATAGGGTGCTGATAATATAGACACTAGTAATTTATCTGCTACTTAAGAAAAATTAAATCTGATTCCATGAAAGGAGGAAAAACAAATAAATGAATATAGGTGAGAATTAATGTAGACATAGCCTGCAGAGTAACTGGTGTCTAGAGGTTTTAAGGACTAAATGTAAGTATTTGAGGGATTGTTTTTTCTTTCAATCTTGTGGTTAAAACTCAAGAGTCATGAAACATGGAGTGTCTCTTTTTTTTTTTTCTTTCTTTTTGTTTAGCTTTTCTACAGATTTTCTACATGACCTTGGAAAAGCTGGATGGGGATGATTCTGTACTGGAAGTCGATGGGCCATATTCTACAAAGAGATGAGGGCTGAAACTGCATCCTTCCTGTATCTCCTGTCTCTTCGCTTGTAAAAAGAGGCTAACAGTGTACTCCTCTCTCCTCGGGGTGCAGCAAAGCTAAATCACCTGGCATTTGAAAAGATTCTAGTATCAGCAAATGTGGGCTGTTTCTGCTTGAATCTGCTGACACTCTCAACACCAAGAGCTTTGCTCTGGTTGTGGGTTACCCAGCAGAGGGCAACATCACTCTCGCACATGCAAATGATGCATATGCTACTTGATCCAAAACTTGCCAAAAGCAAGAGGGATCTTTTCTTTGGCCTTTATAGCTCTGTATAAATGCAGATTTTTACTATATTTCAATATTAGCCTTGAAATGAAATGGCAGTGTGTTAGCGCTCCCATGGCACTGTTGGCAGCTAGCCTTAGAAAAAAGCTTCAAAACCTTCCAGTGCTGGCCAGAAACATGATAGCAGTTTTTATTTTGTTAGTGGTTGATACAGCGCTAATATCCTTAACAGCTGTGACTATGTGGTGCTTTGAGTGTTGCATGGCTTTGGCTAACTTTTATCACTCTCGTCTATTTATTTGATATGTGACCCAAGGGCATTTGAGGTGCATGTCATAGGACATGGAAAAGACAGACATCGGATGGATCCTGACATCATGGAAGTCAATGGCAGCATTTTCTTTCATTTTCATGGGAGCAGGACTGTGCCTGAACTTTCCCCCGAAGCCTATGGCTGTCAGGGTCCTTTGGGCACTAATGAGCTTTACTGGTCTTGACCAGCTTCTACCCTCTGCCTAGGAGCCCTGTTTCAGCTCAGGGCTCGGCACCCAGTCCTTGCCTGAGCTATGCTATGGCCATGTCTATCTCTGACCTTGCCTTCTGGACAGACCCATGTTGTAGTCCTGTCTCCAGTCCTACCTCTTGCCCTTGTCTGCTGGATGGACCTTGGAAGTGGCTGATTCCTTTGCCTCCTCTGAGGCTGTTGATGAGATTCCTTGCAATGACTACCTGGCTCTGCCCCATGCTCAGACCCTGCAGGACTGCACCTTGTCAGGGAGGGCACGGCCTGTGCTGGGTTTCCTGTGGCTCCTGGTTCGTCTCCACTCATGGCACAGCCCTGCTCATGCTGCTCCCTAACACTGCTCCCGCAGAGATGGAATTTAGGCCCTGTGAGAAATCCCCAATGAGAAATACAGTCAAACCGTTTAGAGCACTTGAAGCGAACAGGGGGGTTATAGTAGATCTTTGCAAGATCACAGGTTTCTGTAACGCAAAAATTTGCAACCCTGGACATAGAAGTAGTTGTATATGGCTTAACTGAGTGGTAATGCAGCTCTTGCACCCATAGGAAGCTGGCCTTTTAGATATCCAGATCTAGTGAAGAAATGGTTAGTCCTCAGCCTTGCAGAGAACAACATGAAAAGTGAAGAACTCTAGAGGTCAAAAGAACAAGAATTGAAAACAGAAATATGTGGACAATCCCACTTACCTTTATTGTGCTTGGAAATTAGGAAATCAGGTGGATTTTAAGCTAACTTCATGATGTATTGTAGTTTATTTCCTGATTCTTGGATGCCTGTGCCTAGCCAGACATGGAAGATGACAGGCAGTGATATTTTTGTTCACTGTGAGGCAAAAGGGGCAAACTTCAGTCAGTTTTCTATTAAGCTTTCCCCTCCAAGCATCCAAACAACAGATGTGTAGAAACACTGGTATTTAAATTTGAAATTCTGTTGGTGGGGAAACAGGTCTCCCCAGGGTACTTATCTGTAGGCTAACAATTGCTTCACATTTTATATTCTCTTTCTTTTTCTCCATTTTTTGTTTAAGAAATACAGCCCTCAGAGTGATTGGGAATTTCTTTTGGATGTTGTTAATACAAGATGCAAATACATGCATAAAAATTCGGGACTGATAAGTTGGTATTTCCTTTTTGAGCCTCTGCGTCCTGTATCCAATAGGTGTCAGGGAAGGGCTTTGTGGGATTCAAGTGTGTTTCTGGGTGATCCCTGCACCGGCTTTGTTTTTTGAGTTGAAGTGTCATTGTTTAGTAGCTGGTTGCAGGGAGAAACTTGTCCAGCCCCAAATGGGTACTGCACCATTTAACAGGAACTTCACACTGAAATGGAGCGGATGTAAAATGCCCAAGGCTTGTCTGTTTGGTGTAAATAATGTTTCTTCCAGCTTTGATAGATGCAAGGAGGCAACAGGTTTTGTGTGGAACATGTACCACTGAATTGAAAACAGGGACTTGTTCTCAAACTGACATTTGGAGAAAAGAGGTATAACAAAGTTTAAATTCCCCACTGGCACAGTTCTTCTGAGCATGCTGGGATCTACCAGTCCAGGTACAGGAGCAGAATTTGCCCTGTGAGGTAGGGGATGCCCTGGGTGTTCTTGCACTGTATAATGTACTGCAGGACCAGGAGGGCACAGGAAGACCTACCATAATTCCTGAGTTCAGATGAGTATAAGAGCCTGTGTTGGATCTTGGAGTAACATGGCCATGCACTTCTGGAAGAAGTGAGTGCAAACTAGCTTGTGTGAGGGACTGCACTGTATCCCTTCGATGTGACTATATGAATAACAAGCAAGACTGCTAAAAAGTGGTATTCTTTCTTTTCCCCTTAGTAGAAACTCTCTGAGGTTGTGCTAATACTTCAGACAGTTATTTGGTTGTATTTGGCTGGGTGGCTTTGAAAAGGAGTCTTTTTAGAAAGGAAGGTATTATTTATTGCTACTCTTAGGGTTGATCCTGGGGATCCCCTTTGAGACGAGCAGGTCTGTGGTGCTCTACAGTGTAGATGCTCAGTGGGTGGAGGGGAGTCACGGCAAGAGCATTCCTGGTGTAACTGCTGTGACACGTGGGCCAAAGCCAGCAAAAACTTGGGGTTAGGGAAGGGAGCAGGAGATCAAGGTAACAAAATAGGTGCAGTTTAGTAAGATAACAAACTTGACAGATCACAGTTCAACTAATGAATTAAATGGAAATGCTTCTTCCTTGAAGCACATGTGCTGTGGCTCCTACTGCTTTTTTTCTCTTGCTACCTTCCCCCCAGAGTTCTGATAGCAGCTAACAGTTGGTCAGAGAGAACATCTTCTGTGGGACACTGTGTTTCATTGCTATTTTGTCTCCCCCATTTCTTGTTACCCTGTTCTCATGTAGTATTAATGCACAAGATGGTAATTCTGGAATCACTTGACAGAGGCTGCACTGCCTGTTTTACTGATAAACTATTGCTGATGTGGCAGGGACTAATGTGATTGCATTGATTTGTGAGTTGTACTAACACTTCCAGTTGATGGCTTAAATCAGTAGGTTTTAAGTCTTTTGGTTATCAGATTCACACGTCTCCTATTATAAACTTTTGCATACATAGATTGCTGAATAGCACATATGAAATAACTTATTTCAGTCAACTGTCTTGGACCTCATAGAGTATAAAAGTCCACCAAGCGCAGACTGAAAGCCTTTGATTTAAAACAAAAGTGCCTTCATAGTAAAGTCCCTAACCCTCACAGAGTGGATTAATTAATGGAAATGTTTTTTAAAAAAAGGTTCTATTTTACGGGAAGGTAAGTATATTTTTCCAGTAGATTTAATTGTCAAGATGTTTTTAGAGAAAATGAGCCCTTGCCACTACTAATGAATAAGACAGCTGAAATTCCTCTATACCCATGACCTAAATTAATGTTCAGCTGCTCAAAGGGTTATGGCAGTCATACTGTGTAAAGCATTTCTGTGAATTGTAGGAGGGTTAGAGAGTAAATTGTTTGGGCCTGCTGGTCTGTGGAGAAGTTGTAAATGTATCAGTGGTGAACAAAAAAAATTATTTGTAATAAGGGGGGCTGTTTTCTGCTTCTGAAGTTGTCGCTATCAAAAAAACATATGGTATGGATGCCACATGCTACTAAGGCTCTCTATCAATATTTTGTATGGTTGATGTCTGTAAAACATCTAAGAGACACTCTCTGGTGATGATATCCTGAACATAAACCAGCACAGCACCCAGCCATAAGATTGTGGGTAGCCCACAATCTTTAGTTCTCTGGAGTGAAAACTGGTCAGTAAAATTTTTCTGAAACTTAGTGCTGTCAATTAAAGTCAGTGTTATCAACTGCATGATATCTACTTGGTATTTCTATCATATGCATGAAGGCCATTATCCAGGAGTGTTGTGCTCGACTATCACAGCAGTCAAGTCTGTCTGGCATAACACATGAATTTCCTTTAATCAATTCTATCTCAATGACAGCACTAGCTCCTTCCTCAGTATGTTTTTATAAACCACATATTTTCATTTTCCCATTAGGAGATTGTTTCCAGCAAGTGTTGATAGTGTCAGTAAGGCTGTAGTTATGCTTATAAATGAACAAGTCTTTCTTTCTTTCTTTTCTTTTTTTTTTTTTTCTTTTTTTGGTGTTTTACTGTAGAGGCTGGCATCATGCAGATATAGGCAGTGAAATTATTTTATACTCTTCACATTTTGCTGTCTTGACTAATACAGCTCAAACCCATGATTTTTGGGCCTGTTCTTTTCTGTTACCTTTGTCTTTTGTTTAGTCGAATGGGTCAGTCTGTCCAGAGGAAGTATGATATTCTTCCTGTTCCATAAAATCCTCAACCTTACAGCTCCTTCCTAGTTTCTGCCTTCTGTCATCTTCTGCTTGCCGTACCGAAATGGTTTCTGAGAAGATCAGATGAATACTGCTCTTCTTTAGTGTCTGTCCAACTCTTCTAACATTGTCTATTGTCTGAAGCACGCAGAAATTTCATCTGGAGGAAAGTGCCAGAATGCTAATACATGTTGTCAGAGACATTGTTCCAGTACTCAGAAATAGACTCTGATATGCCATTCAAGACTGCTATAGCATAAAGCTTGGGGCAGAGATAAAGAGAGATCCTCATCTAAGACACTGGGAGGAAAAGAAAGAAAAAGAAAGAAAGAAAGAAAGAAAGAAAAAATAAACTTAGGAAAAAAAAAAGTGGCAGATCCTGAGGCAGCTTGCATAATATTTGAGATGGAGATAGATTTTATCAGTGTGGTAAAATAAGTCAGTGTTAAAATTAAACTGTGAAGAAGCAAATTATTTATTATAGCACTCATTAGGCTTTTAATGAATTTTGAATAAATATACTTGATTTTTTTTCAAATAGTCTAGAAATATTCAAAGATGTGGATGCA